GAATAAGTTGCAGTTAAGTGTAAAAGAAGTAAAATATATTGGTTTTCTTTTTAATCAGGAAGGAATTAAGCCAGACAAAGATCGAATAGAATCAATTATTAATTTAAAAAAAACAAAAAATAAAAAAGAATTGCAGATGATATTAGGAATCATAAATTATATCAGAGAATTTATTCCAAACTTAGCAGAAATTTCAAGTTCCCTTAGAGAGCTGTTAAAGAAAGATGTGATTTGGGATTGGAATGGGGCTCATGAGGACCCTTTTAATAATATAAAGAAGTTTATTGCAGAAGTCACAGTACTAAATACATTTGACCCCAAATTTCCATTAGAGATACAGTGTGATGCATCACAGGATGCAATAGGTTGTTGTCTTATGCAACATAAAAAACCATTATCATATTTTTCTCGTTCTTTAACTGATATAGAGAAGTCTTGGGCTCAAATTGAAAAGGAATTTTTAGCAGTTACTGAGTCGTGTAAAAAGTTTCATAACTGTATTTATGGTAAAAAGAATACAGTTATCTATACTGATCATTTACCATTGGTCTCAATTATTAAGAAACAGTTAAATCAAATTCACAATAATAGAATCAAAAGATCAAAATTAAAATTAGTCATGTATACATTCAATCTTAAATATCTACCAGGGAAATTTATGTATATTGCTGATCTGYTGAGTAGAAATATTATAAATAAGAGGGTGGAGGAAGACAGTGAAATTAACGATGTAGTACACTCAATGTATGTACATGAGGTAAGAATAACTGATAGGTGGTTAGAGGAACTTAGAATTGAAACAAAGAAAGATGATATTTTAAGTGTAGTATTAAAAAATTATCAGTTAATTATAAACATCGGAAAAATGAAAATCCGGAACTAAACAATTATTTTTACAACAGATCAGAAATATTGGTAGAAAATGATATCATATTTTTTGGAACTAGAGTTGTAGCACCCAGAGTACTTAGAAAGTGGATAGTAGAGTTATTGCATGAAATACAATTAGGATCGAATAAGACTTATTTAAAAGCAAGAAATTTCTACTATTGGCCAGGGTTGAAATCTTATATAGAAAATTTTATTAATGCCTGCAATGTGTGTCAAAAATATAGCAATAGCACCAGTAAGTGCAAGGAACCTATGCTAAATCATGTAATACCAGATACGCCTTTATGATAATAGCTATGGATATAGCTGAACACCAGGGTAAAATATATTTGATTGTGTAAGATTACTACTCTCGTTGGCTAGAAGTTAAATTGATGAGAGATAAGWCGGCAGAAAGTGTGATAAATTAGTTAAAGAAAATTTTTAGTACATTTGGTATACCAGAGCAGACAGTTAGTGACAATAACCCTTTTRACAGTTTACAATTTAAAAATTTTGCTAAAAGTTGGTCTTTTGAGATAATAACATCTAGTCCAAATTACCCTAGGGGAAATGGATTAGCGGAAAAGGGTGTTGGCATAGCCAAATCTATGCTTAAAAAGTCTGATTTTACCAAAACAGATTTTGAGTTATATTTGCTAAATTATAGAAACACACMAATTCCAGGTTTAAGTTTTTCTCCAGCTCAAATGCTACAGAGTAGAGAATTGAGGACCAAACTGGTGTGGGTTAATAGTGGTAACTATATTCCTAAAATAATGAAGCCAATAGAGAATAATATTAACTATAAAGATCAACAGAAAAAATGGTATAATAGGAATGCTAAACAAGGAGTAAATTTCACTRCAGGTCARTTGGYATGRTGTSAAGATAAGTTTAGCAAAGAATGGTTAGAAGCAGTTATAATTAAAAAGCTACAGCAGCCTAGATCATACTTAGTTAAAATTAAAAATAAAAGACAAACATTGAGGAGGAATAGTGATTTTATTAAACCTAGAACTAGTTTTGAGGATGATAAGCTAAATAAAAACACCCAGGCTGATAAGTCTGAGGAAGATGGTGATAATGTAAATGTTGAAAGAGAAGATAATAATTTAAATAGAAGTTCTGAACAAGGAAGTATTATATCTGATGATAGTATAAGGGACTATACGAGTGATGAAAACAAAGATGASTTAAGAGTGTTTCAAAATGTTAAAGGCACAACGACTCGGAGTGGAAGAGTTGTGAGTGCACCTTCTAGATATAAGTCTTAATAATAAATTAAAAAAAAGTGTGTCAATATTAGATTAAGTATTAGTCACTGTAATATTATATATTAATATTATAAATTAATATTATATATTATATTGTATAATTAATAATTATGTTTATATTGTATTATATTTTTCTTTGTAAAAAAAAAAGAGATGTTGTGGTAGCACTGTTTTTTGTATTGACTGGTCTCTCTCTAGCAGTATTGTACTGGCTGTTGTTTTTTGTAAAAGTTATACATGTTAAAGTTAATATATGTTGATGACTATTGTAAATATATTCTAAAATAAAAATAATAGGTGTTATAATACAATACATGAAATATCGGTGGTTTGTTATTGTTTCTAAATTAGCTGATCTTAGAAGTACACAACAATGATCAGGGTCGGATTTAGGGCTGGGCGAGTGGGGCTCACGCCCAAGGCCTTGCGCCTTACATGTTTATGTGAATAAAAATGTTTGGGTATTCGTATTTTGTGCTGCGTTATTGATTTTATAATACACAGATATTCACTGCTGTATAGAAATATGGCTACCGATTCCACGTCGTTAATTATTATGAAATATTTAGAATTTAGATACAAATATGATTATTTACTTACAAATATTTAATAACTATAAATTATTATTGTTCGAAGCAAGTCGACTAGGGGAGCACGATTATCATTTTAATTAAAAATCGTGGAAATAGCAGTGTAAGGCATTCAGTCATTATTTATAACTTATTTGTAGATTGACAAAATTAATTTTATTTGACCACTTTATTTTCATTTTTGACCATGAATGGTTAGGTTAGGTCTTCAGTCTTGTCGATTAATATATATAAAAGACGGAACAAATGCAATTTACCACGGACCTCACGAATTTCAATTTTTTTTTTTCTAAGACGTGTTTTTCAACGCTGATTTCGAAGCTGTTTAATTTTTGCGCGGAGACAATTATTTTGGAAGTTATAGCCTCTCAAAGTTTGCGATCTTATGTTTATACTCTTGCCCGCAACACTACTATACACTACTGCCGTGCGTAGCGCGTAAAACGGTTTTAGATTTTTTTTTTCCCCGATGACCAGGGCCTAAAATTGTGTAACACACTATGTGCAGTAGCAAATTTGCCAAATTTAAAAGTGTGCAGTACTTTTTTTTGGCTTTTATAAATTTTTATTTAAATTATTTTCAATATTGATTATTGAAAATTACTAATTACCAAATTGTATTTGTTTAAAATCCTTAACACACAAAAATAAAAATAAATAATAATGCCGACTACACGG